AGGGTTTAATTTTGAGTGTTTAGGAGGTTTTAGGTGTCAAAACATTTTTTAGGATTTAGAATTTTAAGATATAGGTTTTATAAATCTATAATTAGTGGCATTTTTGTAAATGGACATCTTTAAGTGGCAGTTTTGCAAATGTACACACAAAACAGTGGTATTTTTATGATTGCCTCTTGAATTTTTCATATTTAAACTATATATATACACACGTGTGCACATTTAGTAATGTTGAAAACAGAGTATTCACCATCAAACATGCACATGTGGACGTATTTAGTATATTCACTCTAAAGTCAAAACCATTTTACTAGTTTTGTGTTATTTTCCTTACCTACAAGAGAGAGCACTTTGAAGACGATGAAAGAACCAAAATGTTTTTTGAATTATCGATTACAGTAATGAAACACTTTTTTTTTTTTTTGGGAAAACAGTAATGAAACACTTGTTTAATGAGCAAAGAAAGACTAGGACTCAGTCATCGTTTCCTTCCTTATTTCTTCTCAATTCCCATATTCTGGTATTTGCTTCAACTCCACGGTAACAGAATTTGTAGTCCATAGCTTCCGGTTTAGACTTTCAGACCCAAAAACAAAAACCATCCCTTTTAGACTTACATTTGTCTCGAAAATGGCTTCCCCGAACGAAAACGATAAGATTCCCACGCTCATCATCTCGTACTAGGGCTTTCCCTTCAAGGACTCGTAGCGTTCCCCTCGAAATCGACGACTCGAGTGTGGTTTTAGGCTACGCAGGTTCTCCTCAGAGACAGAGACGTCCTCCTTTAGTGCCAATGGCTGGTCCTATTTCCTCTACTCGTAGACCTGAACCTCTCCTCTTGAGATCTGGTAGGCTGGGGATGTGTAATGATCCTTACTGTACCACGTGTCCTTCTCACTACAATCTCAACGGATCCCAACGTTCCACTCTTACAGTTTCCGTGGATTCCACAGTATGTTTGATTTTACCTCCGAACTCAAAATAGCTTGGGAGTCAAGTAAAATGTTGCTGACACGGAGTCTTTTTTTTCGTATTAGTTCCGTAATGCTCTGTATGATGGTGCTAGAGGTCGGGCTAGACGATTTGCTTCCTCTGTTAATAGATGCTTACCTCGAATCATGAATCCTCATTCGAAAGCCGTTCAATGGTGGGCTAAATTCTTTGCCCTCTCAAGCTTGGTAGCTATTTTCATAGATCCCCTCTTCTTCTTCCTCATGTATGTCCAACAGGTATATATATGCTTCCTCCTCTATCTGTTTCTTTACTTTGAGTACCTCTTGTGACCATCTTTCTAACTGCAGAACGACAAATGCATAATCTTTGATTGGCCAAACATTATGGGATTTGTAACTGTTAGAACTTTAGTGGATGTTATTTTCTTAGCTAACATTCTGCTTCAGGTAAATTTCCTTTGCTCCATTTCTCTATTTTCTGATACTGAAAAATCTGTGGGCTTTAATGCTCTTTTTGTTGCAGTTCCGATTGGCATATGTGGCTCGTGAGTCTGGCCAGTTGGTTGATAGTCCAAAAAAAATTGCTCTCCATTACTTGCTAAGATATTTCTTCCTCGACCTGTTCATAGTGTTACCACTTCCCCAGGTTTTGTAATGTTAGAGCTACCACTGGTTTTGAGTAATGGTATTTGGAAACATGTTTATTTACCACAGATTTCTCCTTTCATTTGCTTACAGATATTGATATTCTTGGTAATAGAGACACACTTAGGCACATCCGGGGTTAACAATTCTTGCCCAATTCATTCTAAAGCTATACAGACTTCTACCTCTGCTTGCTGGACAAACACCGACAGGCTTCATCTTTGAATCAGCTTGGGCTAATTTTGTTATAAATCTTCTCACCTTCATGCTTGCTGGACATGTTGTTGGCTCTTGCTGGTATCATTTTGGTCTACAGGTACGGCAACGTCTCAAAACTTAAAACATTTCCAGTTTCAGTTTACCGGCTATGCTTAAAAATACCTTTCTTGTCCTAATTAACGCAATAGAAGATTGTATAAATTTCATGTTATTTATTGATTCTTCTCA